TAGTTTCCAGTTTAATAAGTCTAATTTGTGTTGATTAGCATCCCTCCTAATCCCCGGAATAGAACGATCCCTACTTACTCGTACTACGATTGCATAATTTATAGGGTTTAATTTGTGCGTTAGTGATTTCTCACGCCAGTAATCATAAATTAATATAACTATAAAAATTAAGTATTTATGGTTAGGCTACATCGTAGCCCTAGCAAGGAAAATTAGACAAACGTAAAGATAAACAAGATAATTATTGTCATAAAACTGATTTGGCCGATGGACTTTATCTTTCAGAATCTCCACAACAACACCTTCGTAATCTCCAAAAGCACCGCAACAACAAATTCTTGGCTCTCTCTCTGATACATTTGTGGGTGTATTGAAAGATGGTAAAAAAGTATATGGTCTCGAGGTTAAAGTTGAATCTTTATAGGACAAGGGGAATCCTCCAAAAATAAGGAAAGGCAATATCTAATTAGGAAGTAGAGGGATAATAGGAATATTGGGGAAGCCAAAACCCATTCGATAAAGGAAAAAAAGGTGTGGTTGTTGTGGGAACGTATATTTCATCGAATAATAAGAAGACGACACATGGAAAAGGAATATTCCTTAGGTCAAACTAATTACCCTAATTAAATTCAATTTAATTAGGGAAATTATCTTTGAATTAAGATAGGAATATCTCCCTAAATCAAGGAACCACTCTTCACCAAATCTCTTGGAGTAATTCCTATCATCTTTTTAGGGAAGAATAATCCTAACCAAAAAAGGATTATTCTCCCAAAACCCTAGCACACAAGGAGGCAATAAATACATAGCTATGTAAGACATTTGAGGTAATTCTTTTTGAATGCTTCCTCACTCGAAAAAACCCTCTCTTTCTCTCTCTCTCTCTCTCTTACATGGCTAAGGCCACCAGGCTCTCCTCGTGAGAGAAAACTCCATCCATTTTAGCTATTGTCGTATATTTATCAAGATCCAATTGAACTAACTTAGGCATTGAAGGGCCTTTGGCCAACACCCCTCGGGTGTGGTCTATTTACTCATATTTATTTCACATGGATTGAGGAAGAAAGAGAAGGAAGATCAAAGGTCAAGGAATCAACCCAAGAATATTCCCTGTGCAGGATTTTGCTCAAACATTTTGGTGCTTTCATTGAGAGTGTGAGTTATACTTAACGATTTCTCTTGAATCAAGGAATCTCGTTTCCTATTTTTCATCGTTCAACCGAAGCATTTCAAATAGCCATAGTTGGAAGCATGCGAATGAGAATCTGGGCCGCTGCAACATCCTTATCTGTGATAGACTCGGGTCACCATGGCACCATGGCTCTGAGGCAGCTACTGTGTGTTGTAGCCGAAGCCATGCCTTAGCCTATCTGCACTACGGCTACTGCCATAGCCCCAGTTGCCATAACGGTTCCCCCTCATGGTCTCGAGACTGAGAATGCCTATCTGATGCATGCTTCGCTCCTCCTCGCGGTCCTGTGACTGCCATGACTCTAGAGCCACATAGCTATGTTGCCGGATCTAGCAGCCGCCACCAACTCGACCTCATGGTCTAATTTGATGCTCTCCACCATGACGGTGCCGCTGCTCTCTATCCCAAGATTATCGCTCATGAGCATCTTGGCTCCTCCGCCAACTTGAGTTGCATTGTGGAACAACTTCATTCATTCTCTCCTTTGCCTCCATGTTCGACGTATGCCCCTGTGTACACCTCTAGTTAAACCCTAGCTCGTGTGTAATTACACAATTCTCTTCTCCTGATTCATGAAGTCAAGTAGACCTTAGTCTTAAAGTTGACTAGCTGGCTGAAAGAGTGGAAGACAAAAAAACTTGGTTGGATAGCTCCTCAACTAGATTTACTTGGTCTGAGACCTTGGCCTTGGACCGCAAGAGAGAAGGATGGACGAAAGCACCTGTAGGCAGTTCGAGAGGTCCCATGTAGGATGAGCAGGAGCAAGCATACAAGGAGAAGGACAAGAGCGTGCTTAGCACGTTGGCATGTCACAAGCATC